TGTAGGAATTGTACCTTACTTCCGAACCATTTTAAAAATTGTTCTTGTCTATTCTTTTATTTTCGTACACGCATTATTTTTATTATCCTTTAAGATTACGGGTTCAACATCATCTTCCATAATCTCACGCGAATCCTTTGCCCGAACCCGCTAAGAAAGCCCATCGTCTAGTGAATATCAATCGTCAATCGTCTTCACAAAATGTACGAGGAAATAGCTAGAGCATAAAATTCGGCAAAATTGAGTGAATCAACTCAATGTAATACATGAACAAGTCATGGCTGCGCGCAAAAAGTATCGACAAATAACAACATAGAAATTGACAGGTTCGATAATCGACTTGCTCAAGAAACTTGAAAGGAGAACATAATTTTAATTCTTAGATGAGTTAATACAGAGCGGAATGTTGATATAATAAAATCAAGTTAGTTCTAATAAATGCTTTGACAAACTAGAACATACAGGTAACTCAGCTTTTGAATGTATCAATGAGGAGTAAATTGAATTCACATGACAATAAATAAAAATAAAAATGGTAGAACTTTGAGTTAATTTTGCACCTATTGTTATACTAATAAATCACTGACTATATCAAAGTAATTCAATAAATAAAAATAATAGAACGTTGAGTTAATTTTGCACCTATTGTTATTCTAATAAATCACTGATTATATCAAAGTAATTAAATAAATAAAAATAGTAGAACGTTGAGTTAATTCTGCACCTATTGTTATACTAATAAATCACTGACTATATCAAACTAATTAAATAAGGCACGGGCTATTTAATTTCATTCTCTGGAATCCAATCTCCGTATAGTATTACGTAAATTATATATTATATGTTTTCTTATAAATTTCTTGGCTGCTGATCGAGCTACACGGTAGCACCGTTTGGAGCTGTACAACGTCAGCTTCTGAGAAGTAACGCTATGTTTATCCACAATGTGTAATAGTGTCAATTATGTCCGACAAACATATAAAATTGATTATGTCTAATTACAATTTTCAATAAAAAATTATCCATATTCTGATATTTTCCCAGTACAACCTGGGTTAGAGGTAAGTAATTAGGAAAAACTATTTAAAAGGGATTTTTTTTTTTAATAAATTACAATTTGACCTTTTCTAAATTGGTTTAGAAATTAGACCATTCATCCATTTTTTTTTTTCATTTTTAGTCCCCCATAACTTGTAATTAATATTCAATCAAGAGAAGACAACTATATAAAATATTTTATATCAGCAACAATATGTCTAGAATAATAGAAAATTCAACCTGTTTATATCAATGGGCTAAAATTCAATCTATTTGTATAAATGGGCTAGCCAAATAACCTATGTTATACATTAAATTTGCGAGGAATGAAATCTCAACACGTGTCCTATGACTGAGCAATATAGTGTATAAACTCTTTCCACGTGTCTTGTGACCATGCAAGTTTTTCGGCCGTGTATTATATCATGAAATGATGGCTTTCTCTGTAAGACTGCCAGAGTTTGCTTTAATAGTAAGATTCACAGTTGAGCGGTCATTCAGATCACATGACACCTTATAAGAAGATTGTTTCACTATTATGTCTCCAATTAGGGTTATTTGTGAGGCGTCATGCGATAAAAATGTTGCTTCATGAGCAAGACCACCGATGCAACACTATAAATATAATTCTCTCAACAGAAGACAAATATATAAAATGTTTAATATCATCAACAATATGTCTGGAATAATAGAAAAATCAACTTGTTTATATCAATGGGCTAAAATTCAATCTGTTTGTATCAATGGGTTAGCCAAAACCTATGTTATACATTAAATTCGCAAGGAATGAAATCTCGACACAAGTCCAATGACTGAGCAATTAGAGTATAAACTCCTGCCACATGTCTTGTGACCATGCAAGTGTTTGGGTCGCGTGTTATATCAAGAAAGGATGACTTTCTCTGTAAGACTGCTAGAGTTTGCTTCAACAATAACATTCACATGCCACAACTGAGTTGACATTCAGATTACGTGGCACCTTATAAGAGGATGACTTCACTATTAAGTCTCAAATCAAGGCAATTTGTCAGGCATCATGCGATAAGACATGAGCAAGACCATCGATGTAACACTATAAATAGGATTCTCCCATCCCAAATCCGGATTTGGAATTTCATTTCTCAATATCTATAGAGCAATTATCTCTCTTGAGCAAATATCTTCTATAAACAAATCAATAAAATAATAGTTGACATAGGAATTACGCCTTACATCCGAGCCACTTTAAAAACTATTCTTGTCTATTCTTTTATTTTTGTTCAAGCATTATTTTTATGATCTTTTACGATTACGGATTCAACATCATATTTCACAATCTCAAGCGAATCCTTTTGCCCGAACTCGCTAAGAAAGCCCATCGTCTAGTGAATATCAATCGTCAATCGTCTTCACAAAATGTACGAGGAAATAGAGCATAAAATTCGGCAAAGTTGAGTGAATCAACTCAATGTAATACATGAACAAGTCATGGCTGCGCGCAAAAAGTATCGACCAATAACAAAATAGAAATTGACAGGTTCAATAATCGACTTGCTCAAGAAACCTGAAAGGAGAACATAATTTTAATTCTTAGATGAGTTAATACAGAGCGGGGTGTTGATATAGTCAAATCAAATTAGTTCTAATAAATGCTTTGACAAACTAGAACATACATGCACCTTTTGAATGTATCAATGAGGAGTAAATCGAATTCACATGACAATAAATAAAAATAAAAATAGTAGAACGTTGAGTTAATTTTGCACCCATTGTTATACTAATAAATTACTGACTATATCAAAGTAATTAAATAAATAAAAATAGTAGAACGTTGAGTTAATTTTGCACCTATTGTTATACTTATAAATCACTGACTAGTGACTATATTAAACTAATTAAATAAGGCACTGGCTAATTAATTTCATTCTCTGAAATCCAATCTCAGTATAGTATTACATAAATTAATATATTATATGTTTTCTTATAGATTTCTTGGCTGATAGCGACACGGTAACACCGTTTGGAGGTGTAAAACGTCAGCTTCTGAGAAGTATAGATTGCTGGCTGCGTGGCCAGGTCAAAGATTTGACAAAGCCTTAATTAATTAATTACTTCAGCCTTTTCAGTTTCTCCCTATAAATAAGAAGGAAGGGGGGCAGCAAACAAAGCTATACCAAAAAAGACTCAGAACTTATTAAGAGTTACAAGCTAATAATAACTAGCATTAATGGCTTCACGTAGCATATTCCAGCTTCAGGTTTTCCTCATCTTTGCTCTTGCAACAACAGCATTCTCATCCGTGTTGTCTCCTTATTACTATGAGAAAGTGTGTCCTAAAGCTTTGCCAACTATCAAACGAATAGTGGAAGCTGCTGTTTACAAAGAACGCCGCATGGGTGGCTCTCTTCTACGTCTTCACTTCCATAATTGTTTCGTTCAAGTAAAATACCAAACTGTTAACTCTTTTCTCATTCTCATTTGGATTTTATAAGTGCTATCCATTCTCATATACTTTGTCATTGTTAATATGCAGGGTTGCGATGCATCTCTTCTCCTGGATGCTACATCCACCATCGACAGTGAAAAGAATGCACGTCCGAACCTAAATTCCACCAGAGGATTCGAAGTCATCGACCAGATTAAAAAAGAGGTTGACAAAAATTGTGGACGCCCAGTTGCTTCTTGTGCAGACATTTTGGCTGTTGCAGCTCGTGATTCTGTTGTTGCGGTGTGTACTTAGTAATCCTTCTTTATCATACCTTTTATTATTATTTTTTTCCTGGGTATCTTCCTTTCTGGTCAAGTGTTAGACGATTACGTATCCGAATATACACGCAATCACCAACCAATGCATGAAACTTAAATAAGAAGGAATTTTCTTTATATATATCAACAATTTTCTATGGCTAATTTGTACATCGAAAATGTGCAGCTAGGAGGACCATCGTGGAAGGTACAACTGGGGAGAAGAGACTCAACCACAGCTAGCAGGAACTTAGCCAATGACAACCTTCCATCGCCAATCATGGACCTTCCAGCTCTAATCAAAAACTTCAAAAACCAAGGCCTCAACGAAAGAGACTTAGTGGCGCTCTCTGGTGGCCACACCCTTGGTTTGTCACAGTGTGGTCTCTTTAAAGAGAGAATTTACAACGGAACAAACATTGATTCTGACTTCGCAAAAGAGCGAAGAAAGACATGCCCTCGTACAGGAGGAGACACCAAACTTTCTCCTCTGGACCCAACATTTGCACGCTTTGATACTGCATATTTCTCCAACTTGATAAAGAAGAAGGGGCTTCTTGAGTCAGATCAAGCACTTTTCAGTGGTGGCTCAACTGATGAACTCGTAAAGACTTATAGCTATAACCCAAAAACTTTCTCTGCTGATTTTGCCAACTCTATGATTAAGATGGGGAACATAAAAGTGTTGACAGGAAAGCTGGGTCAAATTCGTTCGAACTGCAGGAAGGTGAATCACTAGAGTGGCTGTTGTCGTTCTTGTATTTCTGTGTACAATTCATTTATTTCATTTGCAAGTGTAAAAAATTGAGTCAGTGAAATTGTTTGGAAACAATCTCTTGTTGAGTAAAATGCTTATTCTATTCCAGAATTTGGAATTTTAAGTCAATCGAAATTGTTCGACACAAATTTGATGTAACCTCACTTATTTCCTTGATTCATAGAGAATTAAAATCAGACTGAACTCCTTGATTCGTAGCATTTCCTCCCAACTGATGAGTATTAGGCACATGTTGGTGATAAAAAGACTGACCTGGAGATTGAAGATTTCCAAAGGCTGAGGCTGAAAACCAAAATAGTTCTGTCCATGACCAAAATTTCTAGTACTTGAACCTGTTGGAGTTGTCGATTACTTCAACATTAATGGGTAACGGAGACGCACTCAGGGGTCCTGTAAAGGGCAGGAAGACTTGGTGTGTAGGTTGAGGAAGTCTCTGTATGGGCTTAAACAATCACCAAGGATGTGGTACCAAAAGTTCGATTCCTATGTTCTTCAGCATGGTTTTAGCTGCAACAATGTGGATCACTGTGTATATGTAAAAAGGTTAGAAAATGTCTTTGTTATTTTAACCTTATATGTAGATGATATGTTGCTGATAGGGAATAGCAAAGAGTTGATAAATTCTGTGAAGAGTTTGTTGGCTGCACAATTTGACATGAAGGATCTTGGGGCTGCAAATTTTATTTTGGGTATGCAAATTACTAGAGATCGTCAGAGTTGTAAATTGTGGTTAGGGCAGAGAAAGTACATTGAGGAGGTGTTGAAGAAATTTAACATGGTAGACTGCAAACCTGTGAAGACTCCTATGACTTTGGGAGTGAAATTGTNGTCAGAGAACAAATCATTGATACCTATAGGGGACATCAGCAAGAGGTTTGTGGACTCAAATGGTCGCCTTCAGGCCGGCAGTTAGCAAGTGGGGGAAACGATAATCTCCTTTTCATATGGGACAGTTCCATGACCTTTGCAAATTCACGAAACCGGTGGCTTCACAGACTAGAAGACCATACGGCTGCAGTAAAAGCCCTAGCTTGGTGTCCATTCCAGGGGAACTTATTAGCCTCTGGTGGAGGTGGGAGTGATCGATGCATTAAGTTCTGGAACACCCACACAGGTTCTTGCTTGAATTCAGTGGATACTGGCTCTCAGGTTTGTGCTCTTCTTTGGAGCAGACATGAGCGTGAATTGCTTAGCTCTCATGGATTTACAGAAAATCAGCTCACCCTTTGGAAATACCCATCAATGGTGAAGATGGCAGATCTCACTGGCCATACCTCTAGGGTTCTTTTCATGGCTCAGGTACTCTAATATCACATTGATTGAACATTACCTTCTAGATAGATCATTTTTGAGGAATGTTGGTTTGTCATTTATGTTCTAACTATTCCATCTATCGCATGATTGTTTTCTTTTTCCAGAGCCCTGATGGATACACAGTAGCATCTGCAGCCGGAGATGAGACTCTGAGATTCTGGAAAGTCTTTGGAGCCCCTGAAGAGGCTAAACCTGCGCCTAAAACAAACCATGAGCCATTCTCTCATTTAAGCCTCCGTTGAAGATCAAGACAAAAGTGGTCTAAGAATGTACCATGAATAATTTATTATGTTTATACATTTTCTGGTATAATATATATAGTCATAGTTTAGAGTATTCTTTGGACTTAGACAAGTACATAATTTGTTTTTTTGGTGCAGTATTATTAAACGGTTTATTTTATTTAAAAAAGTTTCAATTAGAGATCAATTAATAGTGGAGGATCTTGTAGACATAGAAAGCAATGTTTGAACTAATTGAAATATAATATTATGCATGTAAATATATTTTTATAGAGTCCTACTCAAGTCCAGGTCATCATATGAAAATCATATTCGCATCTTATACTTTAATTTATTTTCTTTTTGTATTCATCATGTGTTTTATGTAAATTAAATATATAGCTTTAAATAAAAAGAAAATGGTCTCACTGTGACAACAATTTGATTGCCGGTAGCGGCAAGAAAATATAATTATATGAGGCAGGCAATCTCTGTTTTCAATAAAATCAGAACCATTAGAAAACAATTAATCTCCTCTGGCAAAAATGGAAGCCTCAATCCCCTCATAAAAAAGCCATGCAGGCAGGACCTCTGAGGAAGACCAATCCAAATGCCCTAGCAAAGACAAAGAGATCATTTCCACCCTTCCTCAAGAATATTGCTGGAAACTTTCCTAGCCTCTTTACCTATAGCAAGGTTGTTGGTTGTTTCCAGGCTACATTGAAGGAGTCCGGTTGGCGCATGAAAATTTCAAGTCTCAACTAATCCATCTCTGCAAAATATTGAACCCCCTTTGGTCCACGCATCTCTCATTTACTTCCTTACCAAAATCTATCAGAGAATCAATTATTTACATCTGGAGGGATCCGAAGGATTCATTTGTTTCTATGTGGCACTTCAGAAATAAGCTAAGCCTCAACTACTAAGTCTGAGGAAGATGCTGAAGAAATGACACATGTACCATATGCGAGTGCTGTAGGTAGTTTGATGTATGCCATGGTGTGCACACGACCCGATATTGCACAAGCAGTGGGAGTTTTGAGTCGCTTTATGTCAAATCCTGGTAAGGAGCATTGGAGTGCTGTAAAGAGGGTTCTTAGATATCTTCGTGGGACCTCGGATTTATCATTATGTTATGGAGGCATGGCGACTGGGGATGAGCTAGATGTGATAGGTTTTGTGGATGCTGATTGGGGAGGTGATCTCGATAGTAGGCGTTCCACAAGTGGGTATGTATTCTCTTTATTTGGTGCTGCTGTTTGTTGGATGAGTAAAAGGCAAAGTACTGTGGCTTTGTCATCGACTGAGGCAGAATACATGGCATTGACACATGCTGGCAAGGAAGCTATGTGGCTTCGAAGATTGAGTTTAGAGCTTGGTTTCAAGCTTGATGCTGTGAAGATTGGATGTGACAATCAAGGGGCTATTTANTTTATCTATATTTGCTAGCTTCTAATTATAATCAAATCTTTATTGTCATCCACATATATATACTATGTGAGAGTGAGACCCTTTTTTTTTTTTTTTTTTTTTTAATATTATTTTAAAGCTACATATTTTTTGAAGAACTTAAATAATATTTTATAGTCATTGCATGGAATGTGCACTAGGATTCTCTAACAACAGAAGAATAAGAAAGTTATTGTTCATTTATGAATTCATTTCTTGTTTTTCTTTTTTGATTCCTCTCATAAAATGTGCAATAAGTGTTTATATTTGAATTTTCCCTTTTTATTTTTACAAAATAGAGAACTTAGGAGCAAAGACAGAGAAAAATTCTGAAAAAAAAAAAAAAATTCAAAATTTCTCTTTATTATCTTCTCTCCCGTCTTTTATAAAACAAAAAAAAAAAAAAAAATTGTTTCAAATCAATATTTTTATTACAAAATTGCAAAAGGGAATAAAAAAATTGAGGTATTTGAGACGAAAAAACTAGGTGATAATTTAAAAGGGCTTTATCGGTTGTATAAGTAATAAATTTTGTATATTTTTTGTTTCTTTATGTTTTCAAATGATCATATCGAATATATTTTTATTTTTAAAATTTTAAAATACTTCTTTTAAATAAATATATTGAAAGCTTTTTTATTTTTTATATTTTTGAAATACTACTTTTGGACAAAAATATTGAACATGTTTCTATTTTTTTTACCAGCCAATTTCAATATTTTCAAAATTAAAAAAATAGGTGGCAATAATGAGGTAAGATTTAAAAATTAACAAAAACACCTCATAAGTTTGTTAATTTACTAAACACCTCTATAATAGAAATATTAAAAATTACAAAAAACACTCCTACCCATCCATTAAATACTGGCAGCTAGCCACCATCATTAAAGGATGGCCGGAGTCACTGTATCGACTCACGACCGGCTAGATTTGACCTGTCGTACGCCGAGATGGCCTTTTCCAACTAGATCTACCGCAGCTCTGGTCGGAAAAGACTAGATCTACGGTTAGAGCTGGCCATTGATGACTAGATTTGGTTGCGTTTGGTCGTTAACAACTAGCTACCGCCAAAGATCTGGCTGTTAACGGCCAAATCTTTGGTCGTAGATCTGACATTTTCTAACTAGATCCATGGTGGATCTAGTCGGAAAAAGCTATATCGGCGCACTACCAGCTAGATACCAGCTAGATCTAGCTGGTAGTGTGCCATTATACCAGATTCTGGCCACTTTCTGACAGTGGTGACCGGAATTTGATAAATGTGGGTGGATGGGAGTGTTTTTGTCAATTTTTAAACTTTTTTTGGGGGTGTTTAGTTAAATTAATAAACTTAGGGAGTTTAATTATTGAATAAAATATAATAGTATTTTCAGAATAAGAAAACAAGCGTGTATTTTAGAAATGATAGGAATATGATAAGACAAAAATAGAGAAACTAACACACCAAAGAAACTGTCATAAGGACGACTGAGTTGATATTGTACATAAAACACTTTGTCCTTTGCTCATGTATTTATTCCAAGGATCATTAAATTCCTATCGGTAGTCTCAGTTTCTCTTGACTGTTTCATTTTTACACACCATGTAACTGTAGTTTATTTAGAAATTGTGTGGTCCTCTTCACATCGGTGCTAGACGTAAAGAGGAAGGGAGTCACTTACCAATGGGTGAGTCGGGCTGGCCAGTAATAGTGCCTAACCTGAAGAGGGAGTCGAGGCCATCGGCCAAGGCTGAGTCGGGCCGGCCAATAATAGTACCAGACAAGAAGAAGGCGCCACATGATTGGGTGAGAACAAACGTTATGATCCTTTCATGTGATTTGCTGGAGGAGAATGTTATGATCACAAATTTGCTGGAGGAGAATGTTATGATCCCACATTGATGCCAAATGTAAAGAGTGTGTCACTATCACGTGAATGAGTGGAGGAGAATGTTATTATCATACATCCAATGGACATGGGTTAAGTCTTGAGTTTAAAGGATGAGTAGATAATATTGTTTAATAAGCTAGTCTCTTGTACAGTTGATAAACGTCTTGTTCGTGACAAGATGACCTTATTTTGTCATCTTCTTTATTTCTGTCAGTGGAAAATTCTGTTTTACATTCTAATGTAAATCTAGGTGATAAGTATTGAATTTGTTTAATAGTTGATTTCGATGCTCATATAAAATAGCTTGTCTTGTTTAATATAATATTTAAACGTTTTTTTTTTCTTTTTTTTTAATTACTGGAGGTATTCGGACTAGTTTATGCATACCTCAACTAATCTCGGGTCTTGGAACTGTCGGTCGGATAAAAACTCTAGTGACTACCCCTATTATTACTAGGGAGACTCAAACTTAAGAGTTTATAAAACATTCTTTTACGTTTTTACCATCAAACCACTAAGTGTTGGTTTATTTTAAACACTTTTGATTGCAGGTAGCAGGTAGCAAATATACTTAAATATTAGAGTCTGGCGTTTTCTCTTTTCCTAAAACAAAATCATAGCCATTATAAAGCATATATATTGAGAGACAAAACTCATACTCATTTTTAATTAATAGCTCAGATATCAAAATCCAGATTATTAAACTTAAACAAACTTCACAATTTCTTATGTGAAATTGCGAAGGCCAAAGAAAAATTTATTATTAAATAACACGAGCAACCTAATGCCATTGAGTTTTGCTTCTCAATCAAGACTTGAATTGAATATTAAACCAGATCCTCTTAACTTGTCTTCCATAATTTTATCTAGCCTTGCTCCCATCTCCAATGTCAAAGTATTTTTCCAATCTCCAATCTCACCTTTTCGGAAGTACATATTGTTATCAAATCCACCTTTTTCATCAGGACGATGCTTTCCCATCTTGTTCACCTCCAAATTACTCAGATTCTCAAAGCTGCAAAATTCAAGAATTTTGTCGACTGCGCCTTCCCTTTCTTCCTCCAACGAGAAAGAAAACCCCATAAAGTCGGCCAACTTCTTCAAGTAAAATCTAGCGTCCTTCATCATCTCTTCATATTTCAAAAACAAAACTCTATTCGGCCATTCCTGGCTCGCTTTCCAGTAGCTTAAAACGTGATCCCAATAGGGTCCATATACAGAACATCCATTACAATACAATTCAAATGCTTCCTGTAAAGAAATCTTTCCGATATTATACTGAGAACTCAGCTTATTTGTGAAGTGCCATAGCGAAACAAATGAATCCTTTGGATCCCTACATATGTAAACAATTTTACAATCTGAATTTATAACAGATTTTGGTAAGGAAGAATAAAGAACATGTGTGGACCAAAGTGGGACTCTTGGTTTAGTATTTTGGATAATTGGATTTTTAATGTAATCTTTCTCCAAGAAGGGAATGCAATCATGAGGATTTTTACAGAGTAAAGGGTTTGAAGAATTTAGGGTTCTTGTTACGGTTGCGAAAGCGAGAGCCTTAAGCCAAGTGGTACCTGTTTTCATGGCGCTGCAGAGAAAAATGTCATCAGGTTGAGGCTTGAAATTTTCTTGAGCGAACATGATTCCTTCTAAGTAATTTGGTGTCAACCAGAAGCCTTGGTATAGGCAAAGAGGCTGTGCAAATTTCCAGCCATTTTCTTGTGGAAGAGTTGAAATTATCTCTTTGTATTTTGTTAGGCTTTTGGGAATGACTTGGTCTTCTTTAGAGGTTTCCATGTTGTAATGGTTCTGATTTTGCCTCGGTTCCTGCTGCAATTCAATAGTATGATAATTTAGGGCTTGACATCCAAGTTCAAGTTATTAAGTAAGGATACAATATTCATATTAAAGTCTCATAAATCTTTAACGTGAAAGGTGAATTCTTTTTTTTTTTTTTTTTTTTTATCGCCACAAGAATAGAGACAATTATTGAAACGGAAAGAAAACACGTTACAAGAAAAACATAAAATAATAACGGAACACGAAGATTTATCTTGGTTTGTTCCATTTTCAAAAAACTATGTTCAACATTCAAATAGAGCGATTTTATTGAGTATCGAAAAACTGCATAACACAAAGATGAACATTATCGATAATTCACTCTTTTTTCTTTATTCTCACTCTTTAAATTTTTCACTATTACAAAAAATTTATAATAGAGACATAATCCCAAATCCAACAAAAATAATATATCACATACTAATTAATTTTTAGTTTTGAGAAGATGTTCAAGAATTTTGATAAAGATTGCAGATACTTTTGACTACCCATTTCACCGAACATTCCATGAATTGGAAAATTTCATTAAATCTTTGAGCGAAATCATATTTTGCAAGCTTCCTTACAATCAATTGGCAAGTGGGGAGAAAATGAGATATTCAAACTTGAGCGCCCCGCGCCCACCCCCCCCCCCAAAAAAAAAAAGGAAAGAAAAAATCTCATACCTTCAGCTATACGCAGAGAAAAACTAAACAGATGTGATACTTATCAGCTCCTACACATGCATTGAGTTAGGAGACTGCTTATATAGAAAATCAATAATAACTATTGTAATAATGATTCCAATGAAAAAAATAAATACAAGAGAGCCCTATAGTCGAGACTTGATTTGGTTTAGAGAAATTAAACATTAATTATTCATGACATTGGATTTTGTATTGAGATCTTGATTTCACATGGTCTCCTTAATTTTTGGGGTAAAGGAAAACTAAAAAATCTATTATCCAAGTTAATGTATATAGAAATTAAACAACATTAATTATATATATGTTTTAGCAAAATTTTGCCACGTGAAAATACAATTTTAATTAAGTGTAACTTAATGGTTAAGATTTGATTATTAAAATTTTCTTAGCCTGGCTGTTGTCAACTTTATCGAGAACAGTTCACTATGCAGTTTTTTATGCATTACATAAAGCCAAATTCATCCTTTTCATAACAAGTATTCATAAGTTTAATAATTCTTTAGATAAAATTTAGATTAATATTCTCAAAATTGAATGAAAAAAGATGACAATCACATAAAGTTAATATCCCTTATTGTCATGAAGTTTTTGTAGTAATTTAAATCTAATTTCTCTCTTGAATTAATAATATCTTCATTACGAATTTGTTGGACATTTCATTTGATTATTATTATTCAAAGCCATGTCAATTGAGATATTGTAAAAATGTCACGAAACTTTCAAATGTACATGTGCAAACAAGTTTATTGATGGCTGGATTTTATTATTGAGATTAAATATTTTGTTTATTCAATTTTAATGTACAATTTACGAAAAAAATTCTGTGAATTGCATGCACAAATGACCCATGAATGACCACAAACAGTTCAGTTTGGTAGAAAGAATTGAGGAAGTTTGGTAAAGGGAAGAGGTCACATTTTGGTATTTATGGAAGGATGTTGGCTTTGGCTGTTTATGCCTTTGGCCGAGCTCGACCTTTTGAAAGTCCGTAGCCTGAAGAGCAAAATCTCTCTCTGCTAAGTACTGATCAGCAAAATCTCTCTCTGCCAAGTACTGATCCGCTTGGACGCAAACCGCTTTTGCCTCTGCATCCACGGCTACAAAATTTTGCTTCAACTTGGCATTCTCCTCCTTCAACTCGTGGAGTCTGCCAGCAGAGTCCATGTCAATTTTCTGCTAGGCTACGGTGAGGGCGAGTAGGTACTGCATGAGAAAAGAGACGATAGTTAGTTTCCTTTTCTAAAGATCTAAAATAAAATTAAAAAAAAAAAACGCTGAGAAATCGGCTGGTATTAGAAAGTTCTTGAAGAGAAAAAGTTGCTTTACTTGATTGTGCATCTGGAGGGCGGTGGCCACTAGATTAGTAGGCCGGGAAGCCACGAACTTCTTAAAGGCCGTGGCAAGTTGGCATTCCAATAGGATGTACACTATCGGCTACAAGTGCTCTGGTAGTTGTCCTAGAAAATTCAACACAGACGGGTTTGGCCCGAGGGGGCAAATACATCTTTGTGTTAGAGTAGATGCTATAGAGCCAATCAATTATTGTAAAATTGACTCTGTAACAATGTTTATTTATCAATAAAAGACATATTCTTCTATTTCGTGTATGTAATGATATATGTGACATATTCTTCTATTTCGTGTATGTAATGATATATGTCCTTAGGATGGTAGAACTATGACAAGGGTATCAAGTGTTTCAAATCTTGATAGTGAGAACCCTATGATCACATATGGTGGCCATTCTAGAAACGTTCGTAGCCGCAGTATTATTCTGACTAAGGACATAGATAATACGGTAAGACTATCATAGTGTTGAACAACCCTGTCAAAAGGCAGTGACTGAACTCACTTGTCAAGGTTGTTTGTTGACAACCTGGTGCAACGCATGAGTGTTTGCTAGAGGCAAATTCATTAGACAAACCCACCAGAGGATTCCATATGGATGGTAACCTTAGTGTCTATGGAATAGATCCTCTAACAGATGATGATGCATGTGATCCTTAGACTTGATATCACCGAAGCGCCTTGTGCACCAATTGGTGTAGTTTGACACTAGCCCAATGTAGTTCTATTCAGAGCTATCAATACGATAATGATTGACTATATTAAGAAGTGTATCGAGACTATGGTGGATCGACAAATGATTTATCACTCCTGGGTACAGGAGAAGTTATCTCACTGGGTAATTCAGTAAATGGTAATGACACTAAATCTATAGCCACATTGGGATTAAGTTGATGCTCAATCCAATTTAATATTCCTGTCATTAGTCCAGTAACTGAATACAAACATTTCGAGGATATCTGAGATTGACACTATTTTTGTACCTTAGTCTCGATGAGATAACAGTTGATGAAAGGACTTGATTGCACGGTAACCATATCATTGACAGGCTGCAGTTTTATTGAATCCAAATCTATCGGGTGGCCATGATGCCTTGCTAGAGGCCAATCTTGGTCTGCGTGTAGTGAGACGATTAATTAGTGTTAATCGCGACACTACACACTGCTGATATAATGAGGAGCCTACGGCTCACACACTTAGAAGATAATTTAAGAATCAATTTGTGAGAAGGGTATTTTAATCTTTTAGGATGAAAATGTATTTTAGTAATCTCACAGTGCAATTAAATTTGCTGAGGTTGTTGCCTGTATTTAATTTTAATATTAAAATTAAATTAGTGAGATTATATTTAAATATATCTTTGTATATATTTACGTGAATTATTATTATTAATTAAATATTAATATATTATTATCTATAAATTGATTTTAATTATAATAATAATTGATTAATTAAAATACCATAAAGGGTGTGTTTGGTTGCAAGGGTAAACTAGGGTTGGAGCCCATGGCTATTCCTAAGTGGAATAGGGTTTTAATTGTTGCACTATATAAGTTTAACCTAAAATTAAAACATATGTGAATGATTCATTCAATTAAAAACCCTAGCCACCCTATCTCTCTCTCTTTCAAGAAGAAAACTTTTCTTGTTCTTCTTCCTTGATTCTTGTTCTTCTTCCTTGATTCTTGAAACCCTTGATTGTTCTAGCAAAATAATCAAGGGTTCTGTGGATTATCTTCGTGTGGACTTCCATGAGTGCGATCATACTTTGGATCGATTGATGAAAAATCACGTGAACAATAGATAGTGAACAGTAACTATGAATAGTAACCATGAACAGTATTCCTGTCTGAAGTCAGAGACATTCAGAGGAGCCTCCAAACGTACGTAAGTATTCTAATCCTTGAATGGATATACTTTATACAGATTTTGTTTATAAACATGTAAACGGTATAATTTATACTCGGATCTTGGCAAAGAAAGGTAATTGATCTATCGATTGAATTTTTGTTTTTCTGCTGCGTATGGTACATCAATTACTAACACTTTGACCCATTGTTTGCCTGCTTTGAAGAGGTCGTTCGAATGAAACACTCTTCTCCATGTATCGAGCTCAGAGCGAAGTAATTCCCGATTTTCGACGAAAAAATCCTAAGTGTTTTCAGGTCGTAAGTGATGGATAAAGTTCAAAGCATGTTGATATAGCATTGAGCAGGATCTGACCTAGGTCGTTGAACCCTTAAGGGACAATCACCTTAGGTCGCTTGTGCAATTCTCAAAGATCCACATCGCGAAATCCACTTAGTTCGCTGGTCGAGTTAGACCGTGAGCTTTATGTCATTTTAGCTATTCTCCACTTACAGTTCGGGCAAGCGTTTCTCAAGACAAGTTAAATCATGGCATAATCATGAAGTTCTCAAGGTTCAAGCCTTGGACCTTAAGAACTGTGGGGCTTCTGTTATGCCTAAGAAATCAGGGCTGACACAAGTTTACGTCAGCGAGGACTAATTAGAGTTTAAGAAGGCTTTGTGCTACCTAGGCGCTGCCACGTCGTCCAAGGACGGAAAGAGTAAGGCTATCATCAACTTGGCAAGTAAAGATTTGGTTTGTGAGTGGTTGGGAGTCGCCTACCTACCTAAGCCCTACACGATTTAAAGATATCTCCTGTACAATCAGCCAATGGGAAGCAAGGTAGGAATTATACGACACCTGCCCGCTTACATATTTGTAATCATTACCCAGAAATCTTTTACTATAAATAGAGGGCTCCCCTCTCATTTTCGGGATTCGGATAACAAAAAACACTCACTCTCCCTCTCTGCATTTCTACTCTCTGATCGCTATATGCGACCTGATTATAATCTCTCATTTATAAAAAGGCAGTGGACGTAAGATTCACTTTGAGTATCTGAACAACTTTAAAAATCATCTCCCATTTATTTATTTCAATTTCCATTTACGTGTAATTTCTAAGTCAGCTTAACACTTTGCACGAGCGGATAGTTAGTGTAAAAAATCAAGCATCAACACCTTGTTTATAATAATATATACAATCTGGTAGATCTCTTCTTACGATATGGGTGGGTTTATTTACACACCATAAACTATATTCTTTTATTTATAAACTATATTCCTTTGTTTATAATATATTCTTACAAATTTTCTTCGGTGTAGACATTCAAAAGTTTTTGTAGAAAATGATATATATATATATATATATATTGTTTGCTTAATTATGTTGTTTGAATTAAGCTGGCTGTAAAATGCAAAAGCTGAAAGAGAATAATGTTGCCACCAAGCGAGAAGAATATGGCTTATAATAAGGTGCGGATGCAGTACATGGCCCACCCTCAAATTTTTTTAAAATATATTAATATGTATAATTTTTGGATTTTAGCTTATCCTACCAAAAATATTAATGTGCCTGTGAATAATTATAAGCCAATTTGCAGCTTCCATGCAGACTCCACCTCCATCTCCATCTTCATCTCCATCTCCACCTCCACCTCCACCTCCAGTCTTGTTGTCACAACTGATCCAAAGCCTCGACTTAGATGGACTCTCGAGCTCCATGAACGTTGTCGATGCTGTTACTCAGCTTCGAGGACCTGAAAGTGCTTCCCATTTAAGCACTTTTTTCTTTTTTCCCAATTAATTTCTGTGTTATTGTTTATTATTTATTAATTTATTTATTTTAATTTGATGCAACTCCAAAGAACATCCTTAGAATTATGGGGGTTGAAGGTCTTAGTGTCTTACTCTTTTCCATCTCAAGAGTCATCTTCAGGTTTTTTTTTATCATTTTTATTTAAATTTCTTCATTTTCTCTATTAATGTAATTAATATTCTCCAGACTAATTAATTTCAATTTTTATATTTCTGAACTTGTATTATATATAGAAATTCAGGCTTGGGAAATTAACAATCACAATACAAGGATCATTTCAATGACCAGGGAGCAGCTAGGAACACTGAAAGAGGTGATTGTTCTTCATTTCTTGCTATGAATATATCAATTTCCACTTAAAATATTTTCTTTACAACAGGAGGCTTTCAAAGAAATAATATTGCTGCAGCTACTACAGCTGCGATAGCAAGTTGTAGCTTGAGTGAGGAAGTGAATATCAATTAAACTTAAACAAACATCGAACAATAAATTACAAGGAAACAAACTCTGACATGCAGCCAAAAATAAACTGGAATATTACACATCACATAATGACCAAGAGAAAGCCACTTATTTATAAAACAAGACACATATTGGGAGCTTTGAATCAATCAAGCTTTCAAGTTCAAACCTGATCCACTCAGCTTCGTTTCCATGATGTTATCCATTCTTTCACCCATCTCAAATGTCAAAAAGTTTTTCCAATCTCCAACTTTACCTTTCCGAAAGTACAAATTGTTATCAACTGTGCCACCGTCAACATCAGCACGAGGACTCTGTCCTTTCTTATTAACATCTAAATTGCTGAGATTCTCAAAGCTGCATAACTCCATAATTTTCTTCACTACTCCTTCACTTTCTTCCTCCAAAGAGAAAGGATGCCCAACAAACTCAGCAATCTTCTTCAAGTGAAATATGGTATCCTTCTTCATGTCCTCATATTTTAGAAAATAAAACTGATTTGGGCATTCCATACTCGCTTTCCAGTACTCTAAAACATGGTCCCAATAGGGTCCATATGGAGATTTTCCATTACAGAACAATTCAAAGGCCTCCTCTAAAGAGATTTCTTCATGGCTTTTGCTTCTCATTTTGTTTAGATAATGCCACAATGAAACAAATGTATCCTTTGGATCCCTGCAAATGTATATAATTTTGCATTTAGATTCTGTTATAGATTTTGGCAAGGAAGAGAATGAGATATGTGTGGCCCAAACTGAGAGGCCCCCAGCTGGCTTAGGCATAGTTGGATTCTTAAAGTAATCCATCTCCAATGAAGGAACACAGTCATGAGGTAATTTTGTGAGTAAAGGGTTTGAAGATAAATCGAAATGGTTTCTAGTTGCAATGGCAAAAGTGAGAGCCTTAAGCCAACTGGTTCCTGTTTTTGGAGCATTGCACAAAAAAATGTCACCAGGTTGAGCCTGGAAGTTTTTTTGAGCAAAAATGGCTCCTTCTAAAACGAAAGGGTTGTACCAAAAGCCTTGGTATAGGTAAAGAGGCTGGCAGAATTTCCATCCATTGTCTTTTGGAAGGGTTGAAATGAGATCTTTGAAAGATGTTGGGGTTTTTGAAAAGTCTTGGTTTTCTTTAGAGGATTTGAAGAGATGGCTTGACTTTTCAGAGGGAAATGAGGATTCCATGGGGTGGTGGAGCACAGTGGAGCACATTTTAGCAACTCAAACGAAAATTGAAATAAGGCTTCTGAGTTTGAAGAGAAGAAAGAATTCGTCCTTCATTTATAGAGGATTCATTAATAAAAAAACTCAGCAATTTGAGTGATTGCATTTGCATGATTCATGTGAATTGACAAATCGACAATTTCATGAATGATTTGGTTTTCTTTATTAGAAGATAATTATGAATGATTTACTTTCACTAAACTAGGCCGTGAATGGTTGATATCAAATAAACAATGCAAGTGCACAAATTTTTTCAATAAATTATCAACCAGCTAGCTTTTTTAATCATATCATAATTTCTTATATATATACACACATATATATATGAGAGGAGGAGTTCTTAATAACTTGTAGAGAGTTTTCGTAAAAAAATGTCTTCTATTTTATAGTAAAATTTTTTTCTTTCAAACTTTTATTTATGCCAACATTTTATTGAATTAATATATTTAATATTTTTCATGTTCAAAATTAAATTAAATATTTATATAATGAAAAGATTAAAAAAAAAAAAGAAAACACATTTTCTAAATATCTTATAACATTTAAAGACACTTCAATAGAAGATATTTTTGTTTTATTAATGACTTGAACTCTCACTAATTATTTACTTTTGCGAGTGCGTAAATCTTTTGAATAAAATATTTATTAAAAAACTCGCATAATTAATTATTTGATAACCTCTTATTCAGGCATCAATTATTAAAGTTGGACCGCACTATAGAAAAAATGACATGTTTCATGAAGACATGTGTTAGGATCCCATATCCGGATCTCACACCCATTAAGTGTGGTACTTAAACCTAAGGGCTCTCTCTCTTATCATGTAAGTCTTTTGGGTTAGGCTCTCCCTTAGACTTGAGTTCTAACGTTGGTGCTTTCGTTGAGAATTGTGCTACGAAAAATGTTACTTATAAGCTAGATTAAGATGCAGTGTACTCTCCTTGGGAGGGGTTGTTACATTGAGTAACTGAACGGTGAGTAAAGCTACCCAAAGGGGGAAGAGACTACCATCGGTATCGATAGAATGAAAGCCACTGTGGACATCGGCTCTTGAAAATGGGGGGGTGGCACGGGCGTTTTTGTTGCAATGTTAGGATCTCACACTCACAAAATCTGGTAGTTAACCCTAAGGGCTTTCTCACCTATTAGACCGGTCTTTTGGATTGGGCTCTCTATTGAGCTTGAGTTCTAACAATATGTTTCATGTGACATGTGATAAGATGATTATGAAAAATTTATTTCATAATTTGGAAAATAATACTGGAAAATGATTATATTTTTTCACATAAAATACCATAAAATGATTATCCTAGACAATGTATATAGGAATTAATTGAACAATTAATATTAATTATATGTTTTAGCACAATTTTGTCCACCAACAAGTATGAGATCTGTAAGAAGGATCCATCAAATTTAATATACTCACGGATTTATTATATAATTAAGAGTAGTCCTATATGTTTAATTTCTTGTGAAAATACATTTTTAATACTATTTTCCTCGGATTTTTCAAAATTATATGCAATGTGACAATTACTAAAGTAAAGGTTAAGATTTGATTATTAAATTTTTCTTAGCCTGGCTGTTGGTGAACAGTTTTCTGTGCAGTTTTTTATGCATTACATAAAGCCAAATTCATCTTTTTGTTAACAAGTGATCATAAATTTAATAATTCTTTAGATAAAATTTAGATTAATTTTCTCAAGATTGAGTGAAAAAAAATGACAACTACATCCCTTATTTTCATTAATTTCGACTGTGTTGGAGATTAACTTTATTATTATTATTCTAAGCCAGTATTATCAAATGACCAAGAATCGGTCTTTTTTTTTTTTTTTTTTTTTTTTTCACAAAGCATAAGTAGGATTTGATTGTCTAATAGTAACAGTGGAGTTTTCAGATTTCTCATCAACAAAGGGAGATAGACATACCTTTTCTTCAGTGACAAAATCGTCTAATTCAAAGGACACTAAAGCTGGAAACACTTGAGATTTCCAATAGTTATAGTTATTTGCAAAAGGCACATCCAACCGTACCTGCTGCCACTGTTGTGGTTTACCTCGAACATTATTTGTAGCTGCTACTGCCATCATATCCACTGTACACGTCGAGTACTAATTGGGTTGATAGAATGTTCAATGGGTCTCGATGATTAGTTAAAGGGCACGCAAACTGACCTGGACACCTCGGTTATTAAAAAAAAAAAAAAAAATTGTAATCTTTGCAACAAAAATAATCCTAAATTAGTGTTGTCCATGATTATTTGAATGTGAAATGAAACATCTTTTTGGGTTTTTAATTTGTTTGTTAGAGTTGCATCGTATTTTTGTTTAGATAGGGGGAGATATCCAAATCGATTCAATCCTCTACAATTGTATGTGTTAAAATATAATCAAGAGAGGTATCACAATTATTGTGAGGACTACATAATAGCTAGAGATGTATTTTTACCTTGCTTGAAACAGTAATACAACTGACACATTGATATTTATATCTCAATCAAGACTTGAATGTCAACCCGGATCCCCGCAACTTCTTCTCCATGATTTTGTCTAGCCTTTCTCCCATCTCCAACGTCAACAGATTTTCCCAATCTCCAACTTCACCTTTACGGAAGAAAACAGATTTTTTAGTCTTATTCACCTCCAAATTGCTCAGATTTTCAAAGCTGCACAATCTTATAACTTTCTGCAATTCACCTTCCTTTTCTTCCTGTAAGGAGAAAGGATACCCAATGAACTCGGCCAACTTCTTCAAGTAAAATGTAGTATCTCTCATCACGTCTTCATACTTTAGAAACAACAACCGATCCGGAAATTCCAGACTTGCTTTCCAGTACACTAAAGCATGGTCCCAATAGGGTCCATAAGGAGATTTTCCATTACAATACAACTCAAAGGCCTCCTCTAAAGAAATGTTATCATTGTTCTTTGGTCTTAGCTTATTTGTATGGTGCCATAGTGAAACAAATGAATCCTTTGGCTCCCTACAAATGTAAATAATTTTACAACCTGAGTCGATGACAGATTTCGGTAAGGAAGAATATGGAATATGAGTGGCACAAAGGGGGAAATCTTTCTCAGGTATAAATGGATTCTCAATGCAATCCATCTCCATAAAGGGCATACAATCATGGGATACTTTAGAGAGCAAAGGATTTGGAGAATTTCTGAAATGGGTTCTAGTTAGAGTGGCAAAAGTCAAGGCCTTAAGCCAAGTGGTACCGGTTTTAGGAGCGCTGCAAATAAAAATATCGCGCGGTTGAGCCTTGAAGTTTTCTTGGGCAAAGAGGGCTCTTTCTATGAAATAAGAGTGCCACCAAAAGCCTTGGTAAAAACAAAGAGGTTGGAAGTCATTCCATCCGTTTTCTTCAGGAAGGGACATTGATGAAATTATCTTTTTGCATGTTTCCAGGGTTATTTTTGGAGAGGCTAATTGTTTTTCTTCAGAGGGAAATAATAAGGGTTCCATGTATACTTGTGAAACTTGATGATTAGTTTTTATGTGATTTATATGAAATGTTTTTTGCTAAATTATTATTATGTTGTGGATGCATGGTTTCATGTAATCAAATAAACAAGTACGTAATAATCTTCAATTATGGACTATCAAACCTTTGTTATATAAATAGATTGTCATTTTGTGGTCAATTATTTGGGGAGGATCAGGTATAGATAACAATGTTTGAACTGATTAATATAAAAATTAATGAATTATGTATCTAAAAAATTGCTGTCTCTTCCCCAGAAGGTCGTATTGTGAATATGATATAAGGGTTATCCTAAAGTTTTTTATCTTTATTAGACCGAGTATCAATGTTTTTAGATACCCTGAATGGTTATCAAATAAAAAACTCTAGTACATTATATAACCTTCGGAATATAATAGAACATCAAATGAGTCTTATCAATTAAATTAAGAGAGGATCAAGGTGTAGAAAGCGATATTTGAACTACGAATACTAATACTAAAATTAGTTATGATATAAGGGTTATCCTAAAGTTTTTTATCTTTATTAGACCGAGTATCAATGTTTTTAGATACCCTGAATGGTTATCAAATAAAAAACTCTAGTACATTATATAACCTTCGGAATATAATAGAACATCAAATGAGTCTTATCAATTAAATTAAGAGAGGATCAAGGTGTAGAAAGCGATATTTGAACTACGAATACTAATACTAAAATTAGTTATGGTTGATTTTAATATATTATTGTTCCTCAATTTATAATAAGGACTTATAAATTCGTGTGGCTCAAAGAATCCGCACCACTGTACCGTTTGTCTGTGATGTTTCGGGGCATCTGGTAGGTACATTGCCCATGTTCACTTGACCTGAAAGTTTGGCTAGTATGGATAAGCACAAAATGAGTAGTAGATTTTATTTAATTCTTGAGATTATTATATTAAAAAGCTGGAATTCCCAAAACTAAACCAAGACTGCTTAATTCTCTGTCTTGCTTGAGAAAGTCTTTGACAAACACCGAATTTTGTTTCTTAATCAAGACTTAAATTAAATGTCACACCAGATTCAATTAAATGTCCAGCCTTTCTCCCATCTCAGTTGTTTACGGATAACATATTGTTATCAATCCCTCCTCCTTGATCCTCAGCATGATGCTTTCCCATTTTATTCAGCTCCAAATTTTTGAAATTCTCGAACCAGCACAAGTCTATAATTTTCTGCACTTCAAGTTCATTTTGTTATTCTGAAAAAAAAAAAAAAAAGGAAAGCTAGAAAGATACCCAATGGATCCTATTTGGGCCTTCCAGGCTTGCTTTCCTTTCCAATGCTCTCCAGCACATGGTCCCGATAGTGTCTGGAAATAGATGTTGCATTACAATAAATTTAAATTAAGAGGCCTCATCCAAAAAAGCTGTTTTTATCAAGGTTCTTGGGTTTTGACCACATCTGACAATTTTCAAATGTATCTATTTAGGGTAGCTTCTCATTATTGAAAATATATGCTGTAGAGGATAAAATCTACAGTTGAGAGCGACTGATACTATACAAAGTAAGCTAATGATAACCTGGTAGACCTGCACAAAGAGCACAAAAAAGGGAATGCGAAGGCTAGATAGATACTAGTGTGATGCCAACCATAAACATTTTGACGCTCAAGTTAGCGAGGCTGAAAGAGCCTATTTGGTGAGGCCTAAAGGGAGAGAATACCAGAATAATACGATAGTTCTTGGGAGCAAAAACTTTTAGAGCTTAGGTGTTACGGGTGATTTTTTAATCAATAATGAGGAAAACTGCCCCTGCTTATATAGTGAACCCAAGAGGTTCAAATCTTAGTAGGACTCTAAGTCCTACTAGGTAAATGAGTCGTTATTAGGAAAGAGATGAGATCTCCTTTTCTTATTAGGTTAAGCTTAACATTTATGATTGTGATCTAGGATCTTGATAGAAGTGGAAACAGAATAGGATTATGCTTCCTATTTTTGGATTGCTATGGGCTAGTGGGCTTGACCCAACTTAGCTTAGCTTGTAGGATAGCCCAACTCATAGAGAAGGCAATTCGCAAGGTGGATTCAAGCATAAGCCCAACCAGAATTGGGCTAAGACCTTGGGCCGTCATCTGTCTATCCTGTCTGTTGGGCCTCATCAGGCCCAACGTGATTTTTGGCCCATACCTATGCTTATATATAACTTAGTAGTGGAAAAACAAGACTTCTATACATAAAAACTTTAGTTAATAGGTAAGAGCTTAACATTTATAGTTGAGTCCAATTAGGGGTGAGCACGGGTAGCGGGTAGAACCGGAACCGGGGGTAAGAACGGGAACCGGAACCGGAATCTACCCAGAACCTGCACTGTACGGGTAGGTTCCGGTTCCAATTTTTTGGAACCGCTACTGTGCGGTTCTGGTTCCGGTTCTTGCATGTGGAGGAACTGGAACCGGAACCAGAACCTGTAAAAAAGGTACCCTGTTTTGGAACCTGTAGGGGGTACCCGGTTTGGAACCTGTTTTGGAACCTGTAAGGGGTGGGGTACCCGGTTTGGAACCTGTTTTGGAACCTGTTTGGAACCTGTTTGGAATCTGTTTTGGAACCTGTTTGGAACCTGCTTTGGAACCTATTTGGAACCTGCTTTGGAACCTGTTTTAGAACCTGTTTTGGAATCTGTTTTTAGAACCTGTTTAGAACCCATTTTGGAATCTGGATTATAATGAAATATTTGTGAAATGTAAATAATGGGGGAGTTTCTATTATTTTACATATAAAAAAATTTAAAATAGAAAAATTTAAATTTTTAGAATAACCTAATTAAATAAATATACGAATACAATTATACTTATTACATATAAATTACACCATATTAAAAGCTTTAATATATTATAACACATTAATATTAAAGTTTTGATCAATTAAGTGAATAATTAGAATTATGATTCAATTAAAAGTGTTTTACATTTTTAATGTTATTAAAAGAATTATTTTTGAATAAAATAGTATATTTGATTGAGTAATAATATATTTAGTTATTTACTTCAATTATCAAGTTCTAAGTATATCTATAATAAATTAGTAATTAATTAATTATATATGATAAATTGATAAACATTAATAAATTTAATTACTAGTTAAATATCATACTTAATCAATTATAACATTACATTATAGTTAAATGATTACTTAATTAATTATAATTTTATAACATTACTTAATTGATTTATAGTATAATTAATTATAGCATTACATTAATTGATTACTACTTAATTAATTGACTTNAATCAATAATGAGGAAAACTGCCCCTGCTTATATAGTGAACCCAAGAGGTTCAAATCTTAGTAGGACTCTAAGTCCTACTAGGTAAATGAGTCGTTATTAGGAAAGAGATGAGATCTGCTTTTCTTATTAGGTTAAGCTTAACATTTATGATTGTGATCTAGGATCCTGATAGAAGTGGAAACAGAATAGGATTATGTTTCCTATTTTTGGATTGCTGTGGGCTAGACCCAACTTAGCTTCGTTTGTAGGATAGCCCAACTCATAGAGAAGGCAATTCGCAAGGTGGATTCAAGCGTAAGCCCAACCAAAATTGGGCTAAGACCTTGGGTCGTCATCTGTCTATCCTGGCTGTTGGGCCTCATTAGGCCCAACGCGATTTTTGGCCCATACATATGCTTATATATAACTTAGTAGTGGAAAAACAGGACTTCTATACATAAAAACTTAAGTTAATAGGTAAGAGCTTAACATTTATAGTTGAGTCCAATAGATCTCCTCACATAAAATTTAGATTTTTTTTTCTTATCGAGTTAAAATGTTATTTGAACTTTAGACCTTTGACTTTGATACCACGGAAACACTTTTAAAATAAAAAATGTAGAACTTTAGGATAGCTCCTCGTTATTGAATATGTAGGTTTATGTACAAATTAGCAGAAAATCCGGCAAAAAAATTGGCCCGTTAAGAGTGTTGTAAAGTACTTTGGGGAGAAGTACCACTATGAAACAACTGCATCCTTTGGATCTCTACAAATTAAATATTTGTATAACCAGATGTTCTGATAGATTTTGGTAAGCAAGTGCTCAGACATATATAATTGGTTTCTGTTATAAATCGAATCAAGCATATTAGTTTTATTAGAAGTTTTATGTTGTTAGTCTATTCTATTATAAGTAGGAGTTATCTAAATAGATAGATAGTGTCAGTGTTTGATTTATGTAATTAGCATTATGAGTTTTAGTTGAAGTGATTTAAGATTTAACTCCAATATAAATTGTGAAACTTCTGAAGGCAGAGCAGGAAATTTCTGGAAACGGAGTAAAAATTGCAGAAAAATTTAAGAGAAGCCACCAGCAACAGTAACAAAAATCAGGAAACATTTCTTTATTCTCAACATCCTCTCTCAAGCAAAGCAGAAAGTATGCTGCTGCAACTTGCAAAGAACTTGAACAAAACAAAACCGCTTTTAACCAACTCTTATTTTCTACTTAGTTTGAACAATCAAAACAAAGTCCTTCACCAGAAAACTATTCACCCTCAATTAATTCCTCCCTGAAACTGAAACTGACTAAGTCTTGAGAATGTTGAATGAATTTTTTTTCCTTTGATTTAGGTAAGTAAGAGATGAGATTCAATTAATCTCCAAGCATAACAAATCTTACTACTGATAAGGGTTTTGTTAGTAAATCTGCTAGTTGAAACTCAGAAGGAACAGACTGCACCATATGTTTCTTAGTTGCTATTAACTCTCAAACATAATGTACAACTATTACAATATGCCTAGTTTTGGCATGAAACACTAGATTTCCTAGAGTTTCATAAAGCTCAACGACTCAATTTGGAATGCTACANATCTTGGCTCATGTAAACGATCCTGTTATATTATATTTTTCGTTTCCGCTGCGTATACGGGACCGTTTACTAACAATTTTGAGTTCATTCTTGAAAACCCTATCATTCTCTACACCCTCACACGCCACTTTCATC